TTTCGATAAAGTTCAATACTGTGCATGTTGTTTGACGTTCCTAACAGAACCCAACAGTGTTTGCTGAGCTTTGTAGCTTAAGTAATAAGCTACAAATGTACCCCAAATGCTGATATATATATATGCACGGTAAAACTTGAGGAATTTGAGAGGAATTTCTCGGCCAAATGGCGTGAAGCCACTTGTCGTACGTCTAAGTGGCGAGAGTGGCACTCGGTACTTAGTCATCCCTCCGAACGCTTAGTCATCTCCCGAACTCACCTTAGTTCACCATGTGTCCATATACGGATGATGATGAACGTGAAGATTAGGGAGCTTTGATCTTTCGGCGATTAGTTCGGTTAAGCACGGCTTAGACGTGCTAAGGACGTACTTATGCGTACTAATGGCCGTACTAAGCATACTTAATGCTAAACTAAACATGATTACTCTTAAACATGATTAACCCCAACTAATCCTCATTAATGTTAATTAATCATCATTAACATTAAGCTAATCATGATTATCTTAAGCTAATTATGATTAATTAGCTAAACATGGATTAAATTAATTAAGTAAGGTTTAATGACCATTACTTAATTAATGATGGACGGTGTACCAATGTGAACGCGTCGCTGTATAGGAATGACGACGTCCATATATGGTAACCTTAACCAAATGTACTCATTTTCAGTTACTACTCGATCTCGGAACTTAATTCGAATATTATCTTGACTTAATCTCGTTAATCCCAAACTTGTTTATTATATAAACATATTGGGATTAAATTTAAAACTCATTCGGTTACATAAATAATTAAACCGAATATAAAGTCGACTAAAAGTCGAACTTAAAACTGGAACTCAATAACTGGCTGAATTACTTGAACTAGAATATGAACATGGTTATTTATTAACAAAGGCTAGCATAACATCAAAAGCTAGTATTTTCCTTTATTAATAAAACTCGGGGTGTTACAATCCACCCTCCTTAAAATATTTCCGTCCTCGGAAATACTAAACTGAAACGTACAAGCTTAACTCGAAGCTTATACTAATCGCTGACATGACTTGAGGATTCAGTATTAAATACTGAACATTAGACTTGATCTTAACTGAGAAATCAACAATTCACAATTAAGTGAGTTGATGATTAACACTGACTGAAACGGGTCACTTTTATAAGATAAAGTGTTCCATTTATTATACTTGACATTAAAAACATAATTCTTAAGCATACTGGTCTTCATCTTCTGGCTGGTTGTTGCTCTTTGGTCTGAACGTCGGTTGTGGTAACTCCCAGTCGTTAGTACTCCTTGAAAATTTCAGAGATATGCGCATGTACAAATGAGGGTAACTAGCAATCCTGGCAACTACCTTTTGTGAATGTCTACTCGATACGTGGTACATCGTTCGCGGCACATTGTAATGCGGCATACCTACTCCTCATCAATTGAGTATGGCACACCTGCATACAGCACCTGGCGAACATTGTACCTGCGACATCGACGTAGTCTGTATGGCTAATCATATCTGTATCTCGGCTAGTAACCTCAATGTACTATAATACTAACTCTCTGTGACTTCCCAGTGTACTGTGACTCAAGCATGGCATCCGGCTCCATGGCATTGATTATTGCTGTTGATTAATCTTCTCTGTCGTGTCGTATGTCGACATGTTGTACCTGCAACTGTCTACTTTTCCCGAGGTCAATATAACCTCAAGAAAAGGTTATCATGAATTGATCTTTCCTATGAGTCCTCAAATTATCTGTATTTGAGAATCAAAGCATAGGACGTACTTGAAATGACTAATAAGTCTTGTCTTATTAGACAGACTATCCTTGACTTAACATAGCTGGCCTGAGCATTCACATAACTGAATATCCAGGACTTAACTTTTACATGACTAAATCATTCTTTATCTGAACTCTGAAAGCTATTCCGAGACAATTTAAAATAATCATCTCAGAATTTGGAACGTGACATTTACTGACTTACTTGACTTGATAAGGTGCGACTTCAAGTTTCCAGGTAAAACTGGACTAATAGTCTGTATTACAGACCTCCATTTTAACCCGGCTGAACAACTATTATACGTCGACCTTAATACATGAACATTGTCTTTAAATCGTGATCTTTGACTCATGATTATGTACTATATAGGGCTGCTCCAGTATCAACTGGTCCCGCAAGTACTGAATGATTAACTGATCTTGAACTTCGTCAACTAAACTCAGAGTATCTAACTGGTAAGATACCCGACTTAGCTGACTGTAAAAGTTGTCATTTTCTGAAACTACACTGCTCCGGTCCCAGCTTCAAGTCTCCATGGTATACCCGGCTTAATGGCTCTTATTTCAAGCCTCCATGGTAACCCGGACTTATGACTCTTATACACTGGAAACCGTTACTTTAATAATAACTTGAGAATTATAACAACCTTTAACATGAAAAATCTCGCCTTGAACTTGATTTACTGACCTGACTTAGGCAAATTGAGCTTATTCCCTGGTCTAACTCAAGGAATTCTTTCTTGGAATGTGCCAACTAATTGGCAAAACGGGCAATTTTTCTGTAGAAAATGCCCGAGGAACATAATTGCTAAGATTTGTATAACATAATTGTTTACAAATCACTGAACTAAGCATTAACTTAATCTGAATAAGTCTATAATGGAATCTAGGGTTCTCAATCCTATCCCCTTTCTAGAGTTCTGAAATCAGACTCGAATATCCTTACTAATGACTTTATTAAAGCTGATCAATAAAGAACACAAATTTCTTGACGAGTTGCTAAACATGACTGGGGAATACTAATGTAAAATCCTGAGTATACTGTCTACTGATCTTGAACATGATTCGAGCATCTTAACTATATCGTAACTGAGAAATTTCTGAGCATAGAAATAGTAAATTGTTTATAATTTAAAACATAATCAGCACTTACCTGGTAGTCGGCGAGGCGTGAGCATGACGTGTTCGGGTTTTT